GCATTAAAATCAAGTTTCCTACCTTTTGGAACCTCACTTCATGTTACATTTTTTTCTTTTTTTTTTTATTTTACTTTCCTCTTCTACTGGACATGTTTACATTTGATAGCACTGCTCAAAAAAAAAAAACAAAAAACATTTTCATTTTTCAGACTCTAATTGGAGAAACTGTTCTTGTGCCACATGAAGGTCTGAATATGATCCCAGGGAGAGCGAGCTGAAGTGCGGTCACAGCGGCGGCCCGGCCGTGCTAAGGCACACCTGCCACACCTGCGGCCTCACCTGCTAAGGCAACTGCCCAACCTGCCGCCACCTGTAGGCACACCTGCCACACCTGCGCTCACCTGCTAAGGCACACCTGCCACACCTGCCGCCTCACGCTAAGGCACACCTGCGGCCTCACCTGCTAAGGCCACCTGCCACTGCGCCTTCAGGCTGGACGCCGGTGTGCAACATCAGAAATCGCACATGGGACTGACTGCAGAAACTGCACAGTTTGTGGAGGCATTGGTGTTGGAACCCAGCACTAGTGACTTAGAAGCCTACGCGAAGAGAGAGGGGTGGAGGAAGACGTGAACGAAGACACAGATTATAAATGATTTGACCAGAATTGCCTGCCCCAAACTGCAGGAAACGTGACCAACAAGCCTACCCTGGGTTAGTCTTTCCATGCATTTCACAAGGGGACCCCGGGCACAGTGGCTGACTTGCACTTTCCCACGGCGAGAGCGCAACGCGCGTTCGCTGCTCCGCGAAATCCTTCCGGCGACAGTCCCCTGAGCTGGAAACGCACACCAGGCTGAGCGCCTCCGTTTACGAGGGCGCCCAGGACGCGCCACCGCGAGTCGAGGCCGCCCGCAGGCGGCTGTGAAGTCCCACGCCTCCGAGGCCGGCTTTTGGCTGGGGGGCTCGCCACCCGACGCTCTCGGGGTGCTGGCCAAGGCGGGCGCCCGGCAGTGGGCGAGGCGGCGCGGCGGCGGCGGTCTGCGGCGCGTCCGGCGGGTGCGCGGCGCGCGCCAGCGCGTCTCGCGTCCGCTCGCCGCCGGCGGAGCGCGCCCGGCCGCGCGCGGCGTCGCGGCTTGGCCGAGGCCGGCGCGGGACCGGGGAGCGCCGCGACCGCAGCCGGAGGCGCCGGTCGCTGCGGGAGGCGCGAGCCACGCACGGCCCGCCGGCGGCTGCGGCCGGGCAGCCACGGCGGTCGTGTGGCGGGCGCGTCCGACCTGCCCTGCCCGCACCGGCCGGCGCCCCGGCGCGATCCCGGCGCGGCGGCGGGAGGAGGAGGCGGCGTGCGGGAGGGAGGCCGTTCGGCAGCGCGCCTCCCCGGCCGGCCGCGGTCGGGCGCCGGCGGGCGGGGCGGCGCGTCACCCGGCTGAAAAGGCGCGGCCGGCGGGGCGCAGCGCACGGACGCGAGCCGCCGACCCGCCATGAGCGCCGCGCTCTTCAGCCTGGACGGCCGGCGCGCGGCGCGCCCTGGCCCGCGAGCCCGCGCCTTCTACGAGCCGGGCCGCGCGGCAAGGCGGGCCGGGGCCCGAGCGCCCGCGCCCGCGCCGCCATGTACGACGACGAGAGCGCCATCGACTTCAGCGCCTACATCGAGCCATGGCCGCCGTGCCCACGCTGGAGCTGTGCCACGACGAGCTCTTCGCGACCTCTTCAACAGCAACCACACAGCGGCGGCGCGGCGGCCTGGAGCTGCCGCGGGCCCCGCGCGCCCCAGGCCCCGCGCCCGCGCCCGCTCAAGCGCGAGCCGACTGGGGCGACGGCGACGCGCCGGGTCGCTGCTGCCCGCGCAGGTGGCCGCGTGCGCGCAGACCGTGGTGAGCCTGGCGGCCGCGGGCAGCCCACGCCGCCCACGTCGCCGAGCCGCCGCGCGGCAGCCCGGGCCGCCCCGCGCCGCCCCCGCGGAGAAGGGCGCGGCAAGCGGGCCGGACCGCGGCAGCCCGAGTACCGGCACGGCGCGAGCGCAACAACATCGCCGTGCGCAAGAGCCGCGACAAGCTGCATCTCTCTCCCCCTCTTCAGATTGTGATTCTCAACTCTCAGATTAGATACTTTTTACCTTCTGCTGCAGGGCTAATTTTAACTTTGTGGCTTATTTTCCTAGGTTTTGTGTCACAGTAGTGAGGTTTATAGATGTTATATGTTTATATCCAAAAACACGGACTTTTCTGGGTGAACCTTATTCCCCATGTATGAGTCTGTTAGCCGCGTCAGGATCAGCGTCGACTAAAGTCGACAGCCGCAGATGAAGGCGCACAGCGACTGCAGCCGACAGCCGTGACATGACTTTTCTAACTCTTCATTTATCAAAATAAAACTGTGAACATCTAAAAATAACATAATGAAAGCATATTTGTCTATGTTACTTATTCTGACTGACATGGCAAGCTGCCCGTAAAGTGCAACAAGGTCTCAGCGCTGCCAAGCTGTCCTCACCCCACCAGAGCAAGAGGGGCAACGCCACGCAGCGCAGACCCCGCGCCGACCGCGCGGTGGCTGCACCCAAGTGGCTAAAGAGAGGACAGGGCCAACAGAATAAAACCAGGGGGTCCTGGGGTCACCCCCCAACTGGTAAATCCTGCGTATTTCATTAGAAAGCTGCAGTGACTGCCAGGATTTTAGCCCCCAGAACCTAAGAGTCACTGAGCCCCTGACAGCGAAGCCAGAGCCCAGAACGGGCGTCTGGTGGGCCCTCCTGCCACAGCCTTGCTCATATTCCCCGTGACGCGAAAGCGACTTGTGCTCCCAGCCGTGTTCCTACCGAGGGACCAGCGCTGGCTGGCCCACGCGGCCGGTCTCACCGGTTCCCTTAGAGCTGTGACCCGCTGCTTCCTCACACTCGCCCCACTTTTGCCGTCATTCCCTCCCTATTCTTGTAATCTTTGCTGTTTCTTTCATTCTGTCTTCAGCCCCGTTTCCTTCTCAGGAGCCATTATTTGGCATTTCCATTATTTGGCTTTGGTCCGTGGACCCGACAGGCAGAACCAAGGCTCCCACAGGAGTGTGCTGCAGGGTGGGCCCCTCATCCTGTTCCCTCGCCCAGTCTGCTCTCCAGATGGCTGCGCTGAGGGACCCTCACGTCCCTCTGGTCCTTAGGGTCTGCCGGAAGGTTCTTTGCCTAGAGAAAGCAGCTTCAGGTTCCCACTGGGACCCTGCCATCACCCAGGTCAGAGTCCATTACCTACCCCAAGCAGCTGTTCCCTGACTCAATTCTGAACACCGGGACTGGCCTGGTCCCCGTATGATGCCGATGCTTCGGCCGAAAGCCCTCCTCTCCTCTCCTCTCCTCTCCTCCACCAGCGCCTCCTTCAACCCATGAGCACCTGGCTAAAGTGGCACCTCACTCTTGCTTTCTGTGACTTACTTGAGCCAAATTTATCATTTCCTCCTGTAGTTTTTCAGGAAAAATAGATCCCACATCTTGCTTACTAGGTGCACATTTTTTTGTTTCATTGAAAGTGGGATGCATGTAACAATCACCATTGCCAAGATGTCAGTGATGTTGTTTGTATCGCTGCCTGCGATGTCAGTGTCAGTGGCGTGGTGTGAATCCGGAGGAGGATGGCTGAGCACCTTTTAAAGAAATGCTTGGCTTGCGGGAGTGGCTCACACCTATAATCCTAGCACTCTGGGAGGCTGAGGTGGGAGGATCGCTGGAGGCCAGGAGTTAGAGACCAGCCTGGGCAACAGTGAGACCCCCATCTCTACAAAAAAAAAAAAAAAGTAGCCGGTGTTGGTGCACACCTATAGTCTCAGCTACTCAGGAGGCTAAGGCAGGAGGATCACATGAGCCCAGAAGGTTGAGGCTGCTGTGAGCTGTGATCCTGCCACTGCACTCCAGTCTGGGTGACACAGGCAGACCCTCTCTCAAAAAAAAAAAAGAAAAAAGAAAGAAAAGAAAAAGAAAGAATGCTATTTTGCTTATTATGATGTTGTCTGATTTCCTTAAGTACTAAGTTAGACAGTTGATATCTCTGACATTTCACTTTGACACTTGTTTTATTTTTATTGTGAAGGTGCATCCTCAGTCTTTCAAATGCATGGTTTGGCTTGTGATTATCTTTCAAAAAACTTTTAGAGCAATTTTTGTGAAAGCATGGATAAGTAAATAATTCATGTTATTTTCAAACATGAGTTCCATCATGGAACCAATGCAGTGCAGACAGCTCAAACTAATGAAGTGTTTGGGAAGGATGTGGCTAATGAACACACAGTACACTGATGGTTTGAGAAGTTCTGTTCTGGTGATTTTAATCTTGAAAATGAGCCACGTGGGCGACCTGAGATCAAGGTGGATAATGATGAGCTGACAGCTGTCGTGGAAGCAAATCCATCTCAACCTATACATGAATTAGCAGCAAGGTTTGATGTTACTGGTCCAAATTGGACCATTTGAAGCAAATGGGCAAGGTAAAGAAGCTGGATAGATGGGTTCTGCATGAATTAAATATCAGAAGAGAAATCATCTGAAAGCTTGGCTTTCTCTGCTGTCACAACATAAAGGGGAACCATTTCTACACTGTATTTTGATGTGCAATGAAAAACAGATTCTTTTTGACAACCACAAGCATTCGGCACAAAGACTGGATAAAGATGAAGTCCCAAAGCACAGGCCAAAACCAAATATTCATCAAAAAAATCTAATGGTGTCTGTTTGGCGGTCCAGGACTGGTATTATTCACTACAGCTTTATGAAACCTGGTCAGCCGATTACAGCGGATGTCTACAGCAACCAGTTGGATGAAATGATGAGGATGCTTGCGGTTAAGCAGCCGAGATTGGTCAATAGAGACAGGCCACTCCTCTTGCAAGACAGTTAGACCACATGTTGCACAAACAACGCTGCTCAAACTACAGAAGCTAAACTTGGAAACTCTGCCTTCCACCATATTCACCAGACCTTGCACCAACTGACTACCACTTCTTCCAGGCTTTGGAGCCCTTCTTACAAGGAAAAATATTCAGTTCTCAATAAGCCGTGGGAAACGCCTTTCAAGACTCCATCACCACTCGCTCTCCAGGCTACTTCGCCACTGGCATGAACAGGCTACCGGTGAGATGGCAAAGCTGTGTTGCTAGTTCAGGCACACACTTCGATTAATGGTACTGCCTCTTGTTTGCGATACAATGAGCTATACTTGTGATTCGAAATCAGACATTTCATGTTGATGGCCTTTAACTACGTCACCTCTCTTGATGGAATAGACACAGGGCTGTGTAAAAGCTTCTGACATGAAACGTGACTCAGAGGAGCCAGAGCGAATATGGAGACATTTAACAAAACTTAACTGATCTTCTTGGCTTCTATTTTCCTTTTTACATGTGCATAAGAGTGATATATTATTGGAAACAGTGTCTAAAAGAGATTAAGTTCTTTCTATGAGTGCAAAACAGAAATTTTAAGAAACACGAGAAGAGTAGCGCCACCACACATGGCGGAGGAAGGAACTGCAGGCCTCGTTCCTCCGCAAATACTACTGGCAAAAACCGCCAAAATCAATTTTTGTGGAAGTCTGGACTCTGGCCACAGACTTAAAATGACCAGGGGAAAGTATTGACATAACCAGGGGAGAAGC